CTGAACTGCTGAACTGCTGAACTGCTGATCTAGCAGTAGCCTGCAGTGCTGCATTTAACCACTGCGCCACCTCGGCTCAGGGACAAGTGTCCCCCAGTAAATCTCTCTGGGAAGGAGTGCCAGTGAAGGAACCCGCCAAGCATAAACACCAGTGGTGGGTTGGCTGCAGTGAGGAGCCCATAAAGAAGTGGACGCAATAATGTGGCCAGCGCAAATTGTTAGACCCCCCCCCCTACCAGCTCTAAGCTGCAAAACTAAACAAGTGTTGTAGCCCACCAGCGGAATTGGCAATAGATTCGGACAGTGAGGAGGTTGGGGAGGAAGATGGGCCAGTCCTGGAGGCTGGGGAAGGTTCTAATGAGGGCTCTGTGTCGGAGGCAGAGAGGGGACCAGAGCCGTCTGAAAGTTATCAGCTGTTGCTAGAGTCAGACGTCAGTGAGGCAGACAAACAGCTGGAGCCTGTTCCCAGTGTGTGCATGCGCAGTGTTGCCAAAGGGAACAGCTAAAGAACAGGGATCAACTTGGGAGTAAGGCCACAGGAGGACAATGAATGGCCCCTCCCAGAGGATATTTTATTTGTAAATAAAATTTAAAATAAAATAAAATAAAAAAATAAAGCTCATTTGTGAATCAAATGACTCAAAAGATCCATTCTCAGGAACAATAAGATTGCTGGATTATAAAAATGCATATATCCAAAACTAAAACCTGATCCATTTTTTTGGCAAAAACTTACCTCAAGAAAATCTTTAGGTGCATAAACTGGCCTGAAGAGACTTAGATCTGAAATATAAAGTTATTCAACCTTAAATATTTTGTAGCTGTTTGGACAATACATTCCAGCAATAATAATTATCAAATTTTATTATTTCAGCCTCATTCTAATATCTGTTCAAAACAACATCCAGGATTATTTCCAGAGGAGTAAATCTCATGCAGAATAACTGAAAATACTAAGGTTGATAATTGAGAACTCTTAGAAAATTTTCTTTCGTGGGAAAAGCTAAGAATAAACAAAATTATCAATAAATAATTGAGCTGGTCTATTTTAACTCATTTAAAATTAAAGGATAATAATCAAAATATCTGTGCACTCTTTTGAGAGATGAGTTAACACCCACAATATTTCAGAATACTTGTCCAGAACCAGAAAAAAGTTATTGATATGTGGACTATGGAACAAGATAGAAATGGCATCTGCAGATCATTAAATCTTCCAGAAGGCCATTAAATCCTTATTCGGCCCTGAAATACAGTGGTAGATCCCGCAAAGAATGATTGAGGCGCCCTGAGAGGTTGATTTTAAGTTTTTATCATTGTCAAACATGAAAGACCAGATTCACACATGAAAATCCAATTCAAATTGACTTATTGCTACATACACAATCCTCTCAATGAATGGGTTAGTCTCTACTGGGAGTTAGATAAGGGACAAGGGAATTCAAGAAGAGTTGGGTTTATTCCACTTGCGCCTATAGAGGGACTCTAGGCTGATCCATCTTTTAAACTCCACTCTCAGGTTCTGTCACGCCTTCTACAGGAGGGCCGTCAAATTCTAGTTCTTTTGACATTTCCAGGCCGGCCCCATGAGCCAGATTTAAGCACCCCGTGGGTCGGATCTCACCTGCAGACCTTGAGGTAGACACCTCTGTCCTACAATTATATAGTTCTAAGGGTTATTATAGTTTTATAGCTGTTGCGAGTCACCCAAAGTTGTTTTAAGATGGGTGGCCATACCACTCTTTTAAATGAATAAACCCAGTGAAATATTTAATGCACATATGTCATCCGTGAAGACCAGCATAAAACCTTCCTCCCTAAATATACCCTCAGGGACTTGAGACACAATCTAAGTCCTGTCCAGTAATGGTATCCTCTTTTCTTCGGTAGCGGTAGCGCACACGACAGCATACGAAGGTCTACGATGATGTCTGGGTGGGTGGGCGGAGCCTCCTGCCACCGCCACTACTGGTTTGCCCGAACCGGTGTGAACTGGCAGAATACCACCTCTAGTCCTGTCAATTCAGCCATAAAGCACTTTAGAAAGCTAAGTATTCAATCATACATAGAACCTAAGTTGTTAACTTTGTATAGAGGGGTTATAACCTCATTCTTTTCAGGGTTTTTTTGTTGCCTGCAGTACCCTAATGAGCAATTTGTAATTTAAGGGACAGTTGATTTGTAAGGAAAATTGATGAGAATTTTCTCCTACAGCTTATTAACAGGAGATTGACAAGAAAAGCAGCTTAGATTTCTGGGCAGCTTTTGCTATCTTCATAAAGGTAAAGGTTCCCCTCACACATGTGTGCTAGTCGTTCCTGACTCTAGGGGGCGGTGCTCATCTCCCTTTCAAAGCCAAAGAACCAGCGCTGTCCGAAGACGTCTCCGTGGTCATGTGGCCGGCATGACTAAACACCGAAGGCGCCTAGAACGTTGTTACCTTCCCACCAAGGGTGGTTCCCATTTTTCTACTTGCATTTTTTATGTGTTTTTGAACTGCTAGGTTGGCAGAAGCTGGGACAAGTAACGGGAGCTCCCTCTGTTACGCAGCGCTAGGGATTCGAACCGCTGAATTGTCGACCATTCTAATCGACAAGCTCAGCGTCTTAGCCACTCAGCCACCGCGTCCCTATGCTATCTTCATATTCGCTTCTTATAGGAAGTTTGTGAATGTGCACACACGGAGTATGATTTTAATTTTCATAATGAAGGCATGCAAATACCTGGTTCATCGGTCCCCATTTCATTCCATTTATTCAAAAGTTCCTTTTGCTCACTCAGCGGTCTCTATAGAACAAAAGAAACAGGATGCAACCAACTCTAATATTGACCGACACCTAAATATACATGAGATTATAGATAAACTTTACATTTATAGGAAAAGCAGCTAGTTAAATGTACCTTCTGCGATAACGGGATTCCAAGTTCTATACACATGCTGTTTAGGCTCTTCAAAATACGTTTTTCCCAGTTTGCCTGGAGAAAAAAACATAAATGAATAGTTTGATTTATATAGTTTATCATCCTCCTAATTATAATTATCAACAGGAAGGTATTTTTTTCTCATTTTCTCTTTCCATTTAAATTTAACATACTGGTATACATTATATGTATATACATACATTTCTGGTTCCACCACAAAACCGCGTTCGACTAAAGGGCGCTCGACAAAACCGCGTAGCTGACATCATCACAGCGCGACGAAAAAAGCATGCTGTAAACGCTAAACCTAAAATTAACCCTAAACCTACCCCTAAACCTACCCCTTAACCTAACGCTAAACCTAATCCTAACCCTTAACCTAACCCTAAACTTAAC